CGCCAGACCTCCGAGACGTGTGCAAAACTTTCACTTTAGTGTTATCGTGGTTAGAGCGCCCCCTGCCTTCGCACGCCAGCGCAAAAAATCTGAACGCCGAACAAGAGGAAGACCTTCGACACGCGCGCCCTGAAAAGTCTACGTTTTTTTTGTGTTTACATTCGACTCAGAGGCGCCGCTTTACTCCCAATGTCACGACTTTAGATCCTCGAACTTTTGGCTGGATGGTAGTTTGGTCCCTCCCGCTCCTGAACCCTCGTTTAGACCCTCGTTTAGACCCTCGTTTAGACCCTCGTTTAGACTCGTTTAGACCCTCGTTTAGACTCTCGTTTAGACCCTCGTTTAGACTCTCGTTTAGACCCTCGTTTAGACCCTCGTTTAGACCCTCGTTTAGACTCTCGTTTAGACCACGGACCGTACGGACGTGGACTGGTGTGGCGTTCGACTCCAATCAAATGAATTTAGGAATAGGAATCAATTGACGGACAAAATGTCGAAATAAAACGTTCGTACTGACCCGTTCATAAGACTAAAATGAAGACGAGGGGCCACGCTTTTGTTTTGTTTTCTTTTGTTTTTAACGCACAAACCGAACCGCCGTCGAAGCCGCGCCCGCCTCGTCACGTACGCGGTCTGCGGTCCGGACCCCGCGTGGACCGGGGTCCCGGACCGGGTCTGGACCGCGGGGCTCAGACCCAGGACTCGTCTCCGTTGGCAGCGACAGCACGTAAACATGTTGTGAGCCCTAAACCTCATGTGACGACAACAAACGTGGCTTTAAATATTCACATCAGCTCACCAAACTGCAGCCTTTACAGATAGAGTCATATATATCTCCAAAATATTAAAAATATATAAAAATACAGAAGTAATTGTAAAAAATGAGCAAAACATTGAATTCCATATGAAAACCATGCAGAAAGATCCCGGGAGAGTTAGCGTCGAGATCGGGCTGGAGCGTGGTCCTCCTGAAGCCCGTTCTTTTTGGTCGTTTTGGAATCAAAGGAAACGTCCAACGAAACCAAGATGGCCGTCAACACAACAACCCCAAATATGGCTCTGGTACATAGAAAAGCCGGGAAGAACAGTGACTATGGCGCTCTGAGGCCACGCGGGGGCGCCGGGCGGGCCGAGGGGCGCCGGGCGGGGCTGAACCGGGGCCTAAACCGGGTCTAAACCAGGTCTAAACCCAGGTCTAAGCCAGATGTTCTTTCTCCCGTCGTCTAAGCCCAGGCCCCGCCCCCCGGACTGGCGGCGTGGGCGTGGCCTCCGTAAAAACGGGCTCCTCTGATTGGTGGACAGACGGCGACGCGGCGGCAGAGGGACACAGTGACCGAGGGGTTAATTTGGCTCTGCCGGCCGCAGTCGCCACGGGAACCCAGCTCTGCCCAAACCCGGACGCAAAAAAAAAAAAAAAAAAACAAACAAAAAAAAACAACACACGATTTATTCTGAAAAAACAAAACAAAAACAAAAAAAAAAAAAAACGACAACGGCTGCTTCTTCCTGTGAGATTTTAAAACGACGTCGCCAAAACTGGAGGAATGAAACGGAACTGAAACGTCCCGGCGGCGAAAACTCAACACCACAGAAATAAAACTAAATGTAAACAGCCATTTTATTTTGGCACAACAGGAGTCGACGGTTTTTGGTCAAAAAGAGGAAAAAACTCGAGTGGAAGTTTTGGTCAAAAGCAGCTCGTTTGTGTTTTTTTTTTTTTCAGAATAAATCGTTTTGTTTGTTTTTTTGCGTCCGAGTCGCGCAGAGTCGAACATCAACATTAAACGCAAACGAACGGTACAAAAATCAGGATCAAAATCACAACGACGTCTGGAGGCGCGCTCACTTCCTGTTCACTCGACTCCAGCGCCGAACTCTGCTCTGATTGGTCCAAAGCTCCGTCGTGATTGGTTAAGCACAAACAGAAAGAAAAATCAAATGTTTTTTTGTTTTTGTTTATATTTTTACAGACTTAAATCGGTGGATGTTGCTGCGTTCGTGACGTCGCGGCGTTCGTTTCCTTCATTTCACAGAACAGTCGTCAGTCTTTGACAGGTTCAGTCCTTTCCGGTTTTAAACCGGTTTGAGGAATATTTTTCAATTTCAGACGTAAACAGGAAGTACAGACAGGAAGTGGTGCGGCTGAAGCAGGAAGTGAACGCGTCTCGGAGAAAAACAGCACAGTTTCATTCCGTATAGTTCTCATGCGACTCGACACGAATGAACACGACATGCAGCGTACTAAGATCGATTGTTCAGGTCTGGGTCCGTCCAGACCGGACTCTGAAGGGCCCCCGGGGTCTGGGCCGGGACCCGGGTCTAGACCGGGATCGGGGTCCGGACCGGGGGCGGGGTCCGGACCGGGGGCCGTGGTGTGGAGCGCCCTCTGCGGACGTGGACTTGCACACACGGGTCTGGGGGTTTTGAGAATCGCAGTAAACATTCTTTTTTTTTGGACATGCAGCGACGACATTCAGAGCTGCAATGGACACAAGCACAACTCGCATTTACACAGACGCACCGGACGCCGCCGCACCGGACGCCGCCGAAACAGCCACCGGACGCCGCCGGAACAGCACCGGACGCCGCCGGAACAGCACCGGACCGGACGCCGCCGAACCCCCAACCCGCCACCGCGACAACTCCCCAAACCAGCCCAGGTGCCGTTTCTGTCGGAGAGTCCAGAGTCTAGGCCTGGTTTAAAACTGGGACCTTCCAAACCAAACCCGTCGATATTTGGACCAAATATTCGAACGAAGAAAAACGTCTAACAAGATTAAAACGTAAAATCAACTGAAATTTCTAATAAAACTTTGGCAAAACTTTAAAATTTGTTTCCCGGAGCTTTGGCAAAGTCGCGTCTTCAACCGAGTCCCACTTTGGCACATTTCATCCTCACGATCCAGGACTAAACCAGGACTAAACCAGGACTAAACCAGGACTAAACCAGGTCTAAACCAGGTCTAAACCAGGTCTAAACCAGGACTAAACCAGGACTAAACCAGGACTAAAACCCTAAACCAGGACTAAACCACTAAACCAGGACTAAACCAGGTCTAAACCAGGTCTAAACCAGGACTAAACCAGGAGGTCTAAACCAGGACTAAACCAGGACTAAACCAGGTCTAAACCAGGACTAAACCAGGACTAAACCAGGTCTAAACCAGGACTAAACCAGGACAGGTCTAAACCAGGACTAAACCAGGTCTAAACCAGGACTAAACCAGGACTAAACCACTAAACCAGGACTAAACCAGGACTAAACCAGGACTAAACCAGGACTAAACCAGGACTAAACCAGGTCTAAACCAGGACTAAACTAAACCAGGACTAAAACCAGGACTAAACCAGGACTAAACCAGGACTAAACCAGGACTAAACCAGGACTCTAAACCAGGACTAAACCAGGACTAAACCAGGACTAAACCCTCCGTCTCTGGTGCTGTTGCGGTCGGTGCGGACGGCGTCTCTGTATCTTATAATAGTTCATAAAGTCTGAAGCTTCTGTACATGAGAAAAAACAAAGTCGTTGTTTTCGGAGACAAAATTCTGCAGCAAAAAACGAACCAAAAAATCCAAAAGCCGAGGAAGAAGAACAGAAGAACAAAAGAAGAAGAGAATTAATCATAGATACACCGATGGAAGAGAAGGGTCCGAGAGACGCCAGGACACAGGAGCCAAACGCTTCCCCCAAACTCAAGAGCCCAGACTCAGGTCCAGACTCAGACTCTGGTCCAGACTCAGGTCCAGACTCAGGTCCAGACTCAGGTCCAGACTCGTGTGTGACCGTGGTCGTGGTTCGAGCAGAAGACGTGTGAAAGTATTGCCACTTTTTTTAAAATCTCACTTAAAATATGATTCTAATTTGCTGGTGCTGTTTAAAATTTAAATCAGGGAAGCACCGATCCAGCTTTTCCATCTCCGATACCGATATCGATACTTCTGATATGAACCGATACCAGGTCTAAACCAGGTCTAACCCAGAGACCTGATGGCGTCTGTTTTTCTCCTTCATTTTTCGCCCAAAGCTTCGCACGAATAAAGTTCTGACGTTCTGGAAATCGTCCAATTAAAACGTCAATCAACGCATCGACTGAACCGATACCTGATCCAGCGAGATATTCAAGACGAGTATCGGTATCGGTATCGGCGCATCCCTGATTCAAACGCTGATATGTGGAACTGAATGGCTTTAAATGTTTCAAAGTTTAGATGTTCGAAAGAAACGGGATTAAAACAAAGTGAGGAAACGACCTGTCACTCAAAACATGAAGCTCCGCCCCCTCGCCGTCACTCTGGGCAGGGGGGCGGGGTCATGTGACTCAGGGGGCGGGGTCACGTGACTCTGGAGTTCTGGGGAAAGCGTTTTGCTCTGCTCCTGTCGTGGTCCATGCTCCAAAGGTTCTGAAGGTTCTGAAGGTTCTGACGTAGCTTAGTGGTTCGGGTTCGGGTTCGGGTTCAGGGTTCGGGTCCGGCTCCTCAGTCTGGTCTTCGGTCTGGGTCTGGAGAGTCTTGGTTCAGTTCTCAGTCCTGGAGGGGTTTTCTTTGTTGAGGAAGAGGTCCAGTTTTTTGAAACCCCGGTTCAGTCTGGGAGACCGAGGTCTGGTCTCTGGTCTCATTTGGTCTCTGGTCTGTGGTCTGTGGTCTCATCTGGTCTGTAGTCTGGTCTGTAGTCTGGTCTCTGGTCTGGTCTGTAGTCTGGTCTGTAGTCTGTGGTCCGGTCTTCAGCTGGTCTCTGGTCTGGTCTGGTCTGTGGTCTGTAGTCTCTGGTCTCATCTGGTCTGTAGTCCGGTCTGTGTGGTCTGTGGTCTGGTCTGTGGTCCGGTGTTCAGCTGGTCTCTGTCTCGTCTGGTCTGTAGTCTCTGGTCTGTGGTCTGGTCTGTAGTCTCTGGTCTGTAGTCTGGTCGGTGGTCTCAGCTGGTCTCTGTGGTCTCGTCTGGTCTGGTCTGTAGTCCTGGTCTGTGTCTGGTCTGGTCTCTGGTCTCGTCTGGTCTGTAGTCTGGTCTCTGGTCTGGTCTGTAGTCTGGTCTGTGGTCTGTAGTCTCTGGTCTGTGGTCGGGTCTTCAGCTGGTCTCTGGTCCGGTCTCTGGTCCGGTCTCGGGTCCGGTCTCGGGTCCGGTCTCGGGGCAGGCCTGGATCTCGTCCCCGGTCTCCTCGATCACAGGTGGGACTCTGGACTCCTCCTCGGACATGGGGACGAACTCTGGGTGGGACATGAACGAGTGGATGGAGCTGCGGGACTCGGGACTTTCCAGACCAGCGTAAAGAGACGACCGGAAGGCCTTCACCACCTTAATCTGCAACGAGACACGAGGTCAGGACCTGGACCTGGACCTGGACCTGGACCAGGACCTGGACCAGGAGGACCTGGACCAGGACCTGGACCAGGACCTGGACCTGGACCTGGACCTGGACCTGGACCTGGACCTGGACCAGGACCTGGACCAGGACCTGGACCTGGACCAGGACCCCAGGACCAGGACCTGGACCTGGACCAGGACCTGGACCTGGTCGGGACCTGGACCTGGACCGGGCCTGGACCGGACCTGGACCTGGACCGGGACTGGACCAGAACTAGACCAGATCTGGACCTGGACCTGGACCTGGACCTAGACCTGGACCGGGACCTGGACTGGACCTGGACCAGGACTAGACCAGGACTAGACCAGGACCAGGACCTGGACTGGAACAGAACTGGACCAGGACTAGATCAGGACTGGACCAGGACTGAACCAGGACCATGACCAGGACCAGTACTGGACCAGAACTAGACCAGGACTGGACCAGAACTGGACCAGGACTGGACCAGCGGCTGATCTGATATTTGGAGTTCTGACCGTATCATAGCAACAAAACAGCCAATCAGGAGCGAGGCTGAAGAGGACCCGCCCCTTTCGGGTTCAGACCAACATCCTGGGATCAGAGACAGGTCCTGACAGGTGCAGACAGGTCCTGACAGGTGCAGACAGGTCCTGACAGGTGCAGACAGGTCCTGACAGGGGCTCTTTTTTTTTTTTTTTTTTTTTTTTTTTTTTAAACGCACAAAGTGAAGTGGAGCCAGAAGCTGATGGAGCCCAAACTCGCCCATGAACACTTCCAGGATGTGAGTCTGACCCAGAAACAGATTTAACCCAAACAACAAACTGAAACATGAAGCTGAAACAACAAACTGAAACATTAAGTCACACAAAACCACAAAAAATACAACAAAAAAACAACAATAAAAATAAAAATAATAATGATTAAAAATAAAAATCAAATAAACGTCACATTTTCTAAAGGTTTGTTTTGGTGTATTTCCTGTGTGTGTCGGACTAAACCAGGTCTAAACCAGGTCTAAACCAGGACTAAAACGGGTCTAAACCAGGACTAAAACGGGTCTAAACCAGGACTAAACCAGGTCTAAACCAGGACTAAACCAGGTCTAAACCAGGACTAAACCAGGTCTAAACCAGGACTAAACCAGGACTAAACCAGGTCTAAACCAGGACTAAACCAAAACGGTCTAAACCAGGTCTAAACCAGGACTAAACCAGGACTAAACCAGGTCTAAACCAGGACTACTAAACCAGGACTAAACCAGGCCTAAACCAGGACTACTAAACCAGGTCTAAACCAGGACTAAACCAGGACTAAACCTCTAAACCAGGTCTAAACCAGGTCTAAACCAGGACTAAACCAGGACTAAACCAGGACTAAACCAGGACTAAACCAGGTCTAAACCAGGACTAAACCAGGACTAAACCAGGCCTAAACCAGGACTAAACCAGGTCTAAACCAGGTCTAAACCAGGTCTAAACCAGGACTAAACCAGGTGCTGTGTTATTGTAGAGGTCAAAGGTCTTTGTGTTTACACTTCACGAGTCCTGGACCAGGTCTGGACCAGGTCTGAGCCCGGATCCCGGTCAGGACCGTCTGGACCCGAGGCGCGGTCGGGGGGCGGGGTCAGAGGTCACTCACTTCCTGCGGCCGTGGGGGCGGCGGCGTTGGACAGGGAGTGGGAGGAGCTAACGCCCAGGTGGGAGGAGCCTACGGCCAGGTGGGAGGAGCCCAGGTGGGAGGGGCTCGTGAGCGTTTTGGCGGCCGAGTCGTTGTGTTGGCTCACGACCGACGGCTGACGGCGAAGGGCCCCGGGGACCGCCGCCTGCCCCGTCTGAAACGTGTACACCACGTCCATCTGGGGGGGGACGAAACGAGGAGGGAGGAAACGAAATGAGGAGGGAGGAAACGAGGAGGTGAAAATGAGGAGGGAGGAAACGAAACGAAGGAGGGAGGAAATGAAACGAGGAGGGAGGAAACGAGGAGGTGAAAATGAGGAGGGTGGAAATGAAACGAAGGAGGGAGGAAACGAAACGAGGAGGGAGGAGACGAGGAGGGAGTAAACAAAATGAGGAGGGAGGAGACGAAACAAGGAGGGAGGAAACGAGGAGGGAGGAGGTGAAACAAGGAGGGAGGAAACGAGAAGGGAGGAGGTGAAACGAGGAGGGAGGAAACGAGAAGGTGAAACGAGGAGGTGAAACGAGGAGGGAGGAAACGAGGAGGGAGGAGGTGAAATGAGGAGGGAGGAAACGAAATGAGGAGGGAGGAGATGAAACGAGGAGGGAGGAGACGAGGAGGGAGGAAATGAATCGAAGGAGGGAGGAAACGAAACGAGGAGGGAGGAAACGAGGAGAGAGGAAACGAGGAGAGAGGAGATGAAACGAGGGAGGAAACGAAACGAGGAGGGAGGAGACGAGGAGGGAGGAAACAAAACGAGGAGGGAGGAGACGAAATGAGGAGGGAGGAGACGAAATGAGCAGGGAGGAAACAAAGAGAGAGGAAACGAGGAGGGAGGAAACGAGGAGGGAGGAAATGAAATGAGGAGGGAGGAGACGAATCGAAGGAGGGAGGAGGTGAAACGAAGGATGGAGGAAACAAGGTGGTGAAACGAGGAGGGAGGAAACAAGGAGGTGAAACGAGGAGGAGGAGGTGAAACGAGGAGGGAGGAAACAAGGAGGTGAAACGAGGAGGTGAAACAAGGAGGGAGGAAACGAGGAGAGGAAACGAGGAGGGAGGAGGTGAAACAAGGAGGTGAAACAAGGAGGTGAAACGAGGAGGTGAAACGAAGAGGTGAAACGAAGGAGGGTGAAACGAGGAGGGAGGAGATGAGGGAGGAAATGAGGAGGTGAAACAAAGGAGGTGAAACAAGGAGGGAGGAAACAAGGAGGTGAAACGAGGAGGAGGAGGTGAAACAAGGAGGTGAAACGAGGAGGGAGGAAACAAGGAGGTGAAATGAGGAGGAGGTGAAACAAGGAGGTGAAACGAGGAGGAGGAGGTGAAACAAGGAGGTGAAACGAGGAGGAGGAGGTGAAACAAGGAGGTGAAACGAGGAGTAAACAAACGATGGATGAAGTTGTTGGATGAACGTGGAGGGTCAAAGGTGAAAGTGAATAAACGCAGGAGGAGAGAGAAACACAAACATCATCAGATCTGAACTGACAAACAGAAGCTGAAACAGAGACAAGTTCAAACTGTTAATTTAAAGTGTTAAAGTTAGTTTAAAGTGTTAAAGTTAGTTTAAAGTGTTAAAGTTAGTTTAAAGTGTTAAAGTTAGTTTAAAGTGTTAAAGTTAATTTAAAGTGTTAAAGTTAGTTTAAAGTGTTAAAGTTAGTTTAAAGTTCAGAGGTAGTTTAAAGTGTTGAAGAGGGATGGACTACGTTTCCCACGATGCATCTGTCCACGGGGAGGCGGCCATTTTGATCCCAGAAGAAAACGACGAATTTTTACAAAAAAAAGTTTAAATCCCGAAAAAAAGTCCAGAGTTTAAACCAGGACTAAACCAGGACTAAACCAGGACTAAACCAGGACTAAACCAGGTCTAAACAAGGTCCAAACCAGGTCTAAACCAGGTCTAAACAAAGTCCAAACCAGGTCTAAACCAGGTCTAAACCAGGTCTAAACCAGTCTAAACAAAGGTCCAAACCAGGTCTAAACCAGGTCTAAAACAAAGTCTAAACCAGGTCTAAACCAGGTCCAAACCAGGTTTAAACTGGGTCTAAACCAGGTTCAAACCAGGTCTAAACCTCAATCTCAGTCCCTGTCTCAGTCCTGGTCACCCATCTGTCTACCAGGTCAGTCCCGCAACCGCCAGGTCCGTCCCACACAGTCCTCCCGCCATCCCGTCCAGTCTGGTCCAGTCCGGTCCAGTCCGTCCGGTCCTGGTCCGGTCCTGGTCCTGTCCAGTCCGGTCCGGTCCGGCTCAGTCCCGTCCGGTCCCGGTCCGGTCCCGGTCCAGTCCCGGTCCAGTCCTGGTCTGTGGTCTTGTTGTGGACATTGTTTGTCGTCGTCGTTTACGGTTCGACCTCTGGATTTACGAGGTCAGAGGTCATCAGGACTAAAGCTGGATCAGAGCCACAATGAGGACTTCCTGAAGACCGGGGGATTAGACCGGACCAAAGGCGGACTACAGGCGGACTACAGGCGGACTAAAGGCGGACGGGGGCCAGATGAGGGCCAGATTACACAGGGTTAACAGAGGATTAATCCACAGCATATGCAAACAGAGCACCTCGTGATGTCATCGGGTGAACGCGGCGTTTCAGATCACATGATGAACAACAAACACAAATAAAAACACAAGTACAAAATAAAACGTCACCGAGATCCAGAGAAAAACGGTTTTGTTCCAGAAACGACCAGTCAGATTCATTCGTCGCGCTTGATTAAAATCACAATAAATATTAAAATTATAAAAACTCGGGCTGGGCAAAAATAAAAACTATGAATCGCGATTAATCGATTCATTTATATAATTTTTCTATATTTTTTGTTCAGTGAGTAATAAACTTGGACTACGACGGAGTAAAAGGGTCGGATAAAAAAAAAAAAAAAATGCTGAGAATAAAGTCTAAAGTCGAGAATAAAGAATTCAGAAAATCATTTAAGAGAATAAAGAATTCGTAATTTTATAATGAATAAAGTAATTTTAAAGAGAATAAAGTCATAATTTTATGAGAATAAAGTGGTAATTTTAAGAGAATAAAGTCGTGTCAAAATAAAGTGGTAATATTTGAAAAACATCGGCTGCATTTTGTGAAGGAGAAGAATCTGTGGATCATTCGTTCATTCGACTGAATCAGGACTAAACCAGGACTAGACCAGAACCAAACCAGAACTAAGACCAGGATTGAGACCAGGACCAGACCAGGACTGAAAACGGTTTAGTCCTGGTTTAAGTCACGGAAATGGGAAAACTGCAGGACTAAACCAGGACTAAACCAGGACTACTAAACCAGGACTAAACCAGGACTTAAACCAGGACTAAAAAGGACTAAACCAGGACTGACTAAACCAGGACTAACCAGGACTAAACCAGGACTAAACCAGGACTGACTGAACCAGGACTGAACCAGGACTAAACCAGGACTAAACCAGACTGACTAAACCAGGACTAAACCAGGACTAAACCAGGACTAACCAACTAAACCAGGACTGAACCAGGACTGGAAACCAGGACTAAACCAGGACTGAACCAGAGGACTAAACCAGGACTGAACCAGGACTGAACCAGGACTAAACCAGGACTGAACCAGGACTAAACCAGGACTGAACCAGGACTGAACCAGGAAACCAGGACTGAACCAGGACTAAACCAGGACTAAACTTTTTCAGTCCTGGTCTGGTCCCGGTCTCAGTCCCAGTCTCAGTCCTGGTCCTGTTCCCCGGTCTCAATCCTGGTCTCAGTTCTTGTCTGATCCTGGTCTCAGTCTTGGTCCCTGACTCAGTCCTTGTCTAAGTCCCTGGTCTCAGTCCCGGTCTGGTCTCAGTCCTGGTTTAGTCCTGGTTGGTTAGTCCTGGTTTAGTCCTGGTTTAGTCCTGGTTTAGTCCTGGTTCAGTCCTGGTTTCAGTCCTGGTTCAGTCCGGAGGCCCAAATAATGAAGAAAATTGTTGTTCGTTTTCTTATTTTTGGTTTTATTTTGAAAAACAAGGTTCTTCTTCTGCCGCATTTTTCACTTTGACTTTGATTTTATTACGACTTTATTCTCGTAATATTATAACTTTATTCTCGTAATATTACGACTTTATTCTCGTAGCGCCAGCATGTGTATTTTTTTTTATCTGACCCTTTTACTCCGTCGTATTGGACTGATATTTCTTGGGAAACAAAAGGTTAATGAAATGGAAAATGGAAATGGACCAATCAGAGTTTTTCTTCCAGTTGTATCCAGGTAAATTAGTGACTCCCCCTGCAGCGCTGAACTAAACAAACACCTGCAGGACCTTCAACGACTGGAACGAAGTTTGAGATTGACAGATGTTTGAGCGGGATCATGTCACCAAATCTTCCGGACCTTCGTGAAAAAACCGTGATAGTAAAATGTAAGCGAGATCACAGCGACGAAAACCACACTGGACGAATCTGTTTGGACGGAGAAGAACGAGAAAGACCCGTGAACCGGAGCCCGCGGAAGCTCAAACTTCCAAACTTAAAGAAACGCTCACGGTGGACTTTTTCAAAATAAAACCCAGTGAGCAACAGACGTCTACAATAAATAAAAAAAACAACAATAATAAAATAAAGCAAAATTAACACGTTAAGTTGCCCGGCCCTGATAAAAACACCATTTTTCCAAGACAAACGCACTAAAATCGACAGATAAATAGATTAGAGTTCATTCACAAGTTCGACAGCAGCTGGAACGAAGCTCCTTTTAAAACGATTTGTTCTAGATCTCGGGACTAACGTCATGTTTACACTGAAACGAATCACCGTGAACATGACTCATTTACATAAACTAAGCTTAAAAAAAACAAAAAAAACAACAACAACTCGCTCCTTCTGTGGGACTAAAGGACACAGTGACTCAGTGGCATCTGAGTGTTCTCCCTGTGACACAGGGGTGTTCTGCTGATGGTGAGTCTGTTCTGTGTTTCTGGTTCATGTGCAGGTCAGACACACAGACATGTAGAACGATACTTCGACCTTTCAACGTGAAAACGCCTGAAACACGAGTAAACTGCAGCAGACGATTTTGAATCGAGGAAGACCTGAGCGCTGCAGTGGATCGTAGGAGTCCTGAGAGCTGCGGAGGTTTGTGGGAGTCCTGAGACCTGAAGTGGTTTGTGGGAGTCCTGAGACCTGAAGTGGATCGCGGGAGACCTGAGAGCTGAAGTGGATTGCGGGAGACCTGAGAGCTGAAGTGGATCGTGGGAGACCTGAGAGCTGCAGAGGATTGTGGGAGTCCTGAGAGCTGCAGAGGATCGTGGGAGTCCTGAGAGCTGAAGAGGATCGTGGGAGTCCTGAGAGCTTCAGAGGATCGTGGGAGTCCTGAGAGCTGCAGAGGTTCGTGGGAGTCCTGAGAGGATCGGGAGTCCTGAGAGCTGAAGAGGATCGCGGGAGTCCTGAGAGCTTCAGAGGATCGTGGGAGTCCTGAGAGCTGCAGAGGTTCGTGGGAGTCCTGAGAGCTGCAGAGGATCGTGGGAGTCCTGAGAGCTGAAGAGGATCGCGGGAGTCCTGAGAGCTTCAGAGGATCGTGGGAGTCCTGAGAGCTGCAGAGGTTCGTGGGAGTCCTGAGAGCTGCAGAGGATCGTGGGAGTCCTGAGAGCTGAAGAGGATCGTGGGAGTCCTGAGAGCTGCAGAGGTTCGTGGGAGTCCTGAGAGCTGCAGAGGATCGTGGGAGTCCTGAGAGCTGAAGAGGATTGTGGGAGTCCTGAGAGCTTCAGAGGTTCGTGGGAGACCTGAGAGCTGCAGAGGTTCGCGGGAGACCTGAGAGTTCCTTACCTGAGTCTGGATCCGGTTGAGTCCTCTGAACCACAGGATCTGGCCTCGCCGCAGCTCCATCTCGGCGTGGTCGATCTCGTCGGCGCCCTCCGTCAGCTCCTCCTCGTGGATCTCCTCCTTGGTGATGCCGTGTCCCGCCTCCTTCAGGAACTTCAGGTGGTGCGTCGGGATCGAGGTCACCAGCTGTCGGACGACACGGGTCACATGGTCAACGCCCTGGATGTGTTTTTCTCTGTGTGTGTGTGTGTTTGTGTGTAGTGTAGGTGTGTGTATGTAGTGTGTATAGTGTGTATAGTGTGTGTAGTGTGTGTATAGTGTGTGTGTTGTTGTTGTGCGTTCACACCTGTCCCCAGAGCAGTTCTCCGACTCCAATAAAAACACACCAGAGCCACTGGTCGATGGTCAGAGCCGTGCAGGAGAACGGTTTACCCCCGAACTGCACGATGATGATCTGAAACACCACAGACCAGGATCAGACCGGGTCCCAGACCGGGTCCAGACCGGGATCAGACCGGGTCCAGACCGGGTCCAGATCGGGTCCAGACCGGGTTCAGACCAGGTACAGACCGGGTCCAGACCGGGTTCAGACCGGGTTCAGACCAGGTCTAGACCGGGTCTAGACCGGGTCCAGACCGGGTCCAGACCGGGTCCAGACCAGGTCCAGACCAGGTTTAGACCGGGTACAGACTGGGTCCAGACCGGGTCCAGACGGGTCCAGACTGGGTCCAGACCGGGTCCAGACCGGGTCCAGACCGGGTCCAGACCGGGTCCAGATTGGGTTTAAGCCATGTTTAGACCAAGTCCAGACTGAGTTTAGGCCGAGTTTGGACCACATGCAGACCACGTTTACACCGAGTTTAGACCAAGTTTAGACCGAGTTTAGACCAAGTCCAGACTGAGTTTAAACCAAATTTAGACTGAGTTTAGACAAAGTTTAGACTGAGTTTAGACCGAGTTTAGGCCGAGTTTAAACTGAGTTTAGACCAAGTTTAGACCAAGTTTAAACTGAGTTTAGACCAAGTTTAGACCAAGTTTAAACTGAGTTTAGACCGGGTTCAGTTCTTAGTCTAGCCGTGGTCTGGTCCTGGTCCTGGTCCAAGTTCTGATGGAGCTACAGTTTTTGGGGTCAGTGCCATGTTTACATGAGCTTTAAGTCCAAATAAAAATAATGTAATGCAGATAGGTCCAGTCTTGCTCCAGTTCTGGTCCAGTTCTGGTCCTGGTCCTGGTCCCGGTCCCGGTCCCGGTCCTGGTCCTGACCTGCAGGGCGAAGGTCCCGAGCACCACGGAGCAGAAGATGGGGTTCCTGTAGACGCCCTCGAACACGTTCCTCTCGCCGTGGATCTTTCTGGCGTTGATCTCGTTGAAGAGCTGCATCATGACGAACACGTTGAAGACGATGGTGTAGTGTTCGGACGGCGGCGAGTGGAGCGGCGCGTTACGGCCCGAGTCGATGTCGAAGAACTTCTCTCCTGAAAACACAGAGCGCAGAGCAGGATTAAAGCCCCGCGCCGGGACATTTCTGCACATCAGAGCAGAACAGAGCTTCACCATACCAAACTTTCAAACTCTAGAGTCTAGAGGGTCAGAGTCTAGAGGGTCAGAGTCTAGAGGGTCAGAGTCTAGAGGGTCAGAGTCTAGAGGGTCAGAGTCTAGAGGGTCAGAGTCTAGAGGGTCAGACTCCAGAGGGTCAGAGTCTAGAGGGTCAGACTCCAGAGGGTCAGAGTCTAGAGGGTCAGACTCCGGAGGGTCAGAGTCTAGAGGGTCAGACTCTAGAGGTTGAGGGTCAGAGTCTAGAGGGTCAGAGTCTAGAGGTTGAGGGTCAGAGTCTAGAAGGTCAGACTCCAGAGGGTCAGAGTCTAGAGGTTGAGGGTCAGAGTCTAGAAGGTCAGACTCCGGAGGGTCAGAGTCTAGAGGGTCAGAGTCTAGAGGTTGAGGGTCAGAGTCTAGAGGGTCAGAGTCTAGAGGGTCAGAGTCTAGAGGGTCAGACTCCTAGAGGGTCAGACTCTAGAGGGTCAGAGTCTAGAGGGTCAGAGTCTAGAGGGTCAGACTCCGGAGGGTCAGAGTCTAGAGGGTCAGAGTCTAGAGGTTGAGGGTCAGAGTCTAGAGGGTCAGAGTCTAGAGGGTCAGACTCTAGAGGGTCAGACTCCGGAGGGTCAGACTCCGGAGGGTCAGAGTCTAGAGGGTCAGACTCTGTGGAGGTCTCGAGTGCGTTGCTCACCGGCGAACAGCAGGGTGAAGATGATGACGAGCTGGTAGACCGCGTGGCCGAGGATGTTCTTCATCATGGTTCTGGAGATGAGCGGTTTGTCGCGGCCGTACGGTTTCCGTAGCAACAGCGACTCCGTGGGCGGCTCCGTGGCCAACGCCAACGAGGCTAAAGTGTCCATGATCAGGTTCACCCACAACATCTGCACGGCCTTCAGAGGAGAGTCCTGAGGAGAACAACAAACATCTGAACATCTAAACATCTGCACGGCCTTCAGAGGAGAGTCCTGAGGAGAACAACAAACATCTGAACATCTGCAGTGCCTTCAGAGGAGTTGAGTCCCAGTCCGGTCCCGGTCCAGTCCCGGTCCAGTCCCGGTCCAGTCCCAGTCCAGTCCCGGTCCAGTACCTGGGTGATGCAGGCGCCGGTGAAGGCCACGATGACGGCGACCACGTTGACGGTGAGCTGGAACTGGAGGAACTTGGAGATGGAGTCGTAGACGTTGCGTCCCCACATCACGGCTTTGACGATGCTCGTGAAGTTATCGTCCGTCAGGATGATGTCAGACGCCTCCTTCGCCACGTCTGTGCCCGCGATGCCCTGACCAATCACAGAGCGGCGTGAGAGAGAGGACAGCCAATCACAGAGCGGCGTGAGAGAGAGGACAGCCAATCACAGAGCAGCATGAGAACCCGATCTAAACCCAGTCTAAACCCCGGTCTAAACCCAGTCCAAACCCAGTCTAAACCCGATCTAGACCCGGTCTAAACCCGGTCTAAACCCGATCTAAAGCCGGTCTAAACCCCGGTCTAAACCCGGTCTAAACCCGATCTAAAGCCGGTCTAAACCCCGGTCTAAACCTGGTCTAAACCCGGTCTAAACCCTGGTCTAAACCCCGGTCTAAACCTGGTCCAGACTGACCATGGCGAAGCCGACGTCGGCCTTCTTCAGGGCTGGTCCATCGTTGGTTCCGTCTCCGGTCACAGCGACGACCTGACGAGTCTCCCCCACAGTACTGTCAATAATACCTGAAACACAGTACTTTTACTGTCGTACTATTACTACAGTACTGTCAATAATACCTGAAACACAGTACTTTTACTGTAGTACTATTACTACAGTACTGTCAATAATACCTGAAACACAGTACTTTTACTGTCGTACTATTACTACAGTACTGTCAATAATACCTGAAACACAGTACTTTTACTGTAGTACTTTACTACAGTAGTACAGTATTACTATACATAATAACCTGAAACACAGTACTTTTACGTAGTAATAATACCCTGAAACACAGTACTTTACTGTACTTTACTGTAGTACTATTACTACAGTACTGTCAATAATACCTGAAACACAGTACTTTTACTGTAGTACTATTACTACAGTACTGTCAATAATACCTGAAACACAGTACTTTTTACTGTAGTACTATTACTACAGTACTGTCAATAATACCTGAAACACAGTACTTTTACTGTCGTACTATTACTACAGTACTGTCAATAATACCTGAAACACAGTACTTTTACTGTCGTACTATTACTACAGTACTGTCAATAATACCTGAAACACAGTACTTTTACTGTAGTACTATTACTACAGTACTGTCAATAATACCTGAAACACAGTACTTTTTACTGTAGTACTATTACTACAGTACTGTCAATAATACCTGAAACACAGTACTTTTACTGTCAGTACTATTACTACAGTACTGTCAATAATACCTGAAACACAGTACTTTTTACTGTCGTACTATTACTACAGTACTGTCAATAATACCTGAAACACAGTACTTTTACTGTCGTACTATTACTACAGTACTGTCAATAATACCTGAAACACAGTACTTTTACTGTAGTACTATTACTACAGTACTGTCAATAATACCTGAAAACACAGTACTTTTTACTGTCTGTAGTACTATTACTACAGTACTGTCAATAATACCTGAAACACAGTACTTTTACTGTAGTACTATTACTACAGTACTGTCAATAATACCTGAAACACAGTACTTTTACTGTAGTACTATTACTACAGTACTGTCAATAATACCTGAAACACAGTACTTTTACTGTAGTACTATTACTACAGTACTGTCAATAATACCTGAAACACAGTACTTTTACTGTAGTACTATTACTACAGTACTGTCAATAATACCTGAAACACAGTACTTTTACTGTAGTACTATTACTACAGTACTGTCAAATAATACCTGAAACACAGTACTTTTACTGTAGTACTATTACTACAGTACTGTCAATAATACCTGAAACACAGTACTTTTACTGTAGTACTATTACTACAGTACTGTCAATAATACCTGAAACACAGTACTTTTACTGTAGTACTATTACTACAGTACTGTCAATAATACCTGAAACACAGTACTTTTACTGTCGTACTATTACTACAGTACTGTCAATAATACCTGAAACACAGTACTTTTACTGTCGTACTATTACTACAGTACTGTCAATAATACCTGAAACACAGTACTTTTACTGTCGTACTATTACTACAGTACTGTCAATAATACCTGAAACACAGTACTTTTACTGTAGTACTATTACTACAGTACTGTCAATAATACCTGAAAACACAGTACTTTTACTGAGGTACTATTACTACAGTACTGTCAATAATACCTGAAACACAGTACTTTTACTGTCGTACTATTACTACAGTACTGTCAATAATACCTGAAACACAGTACTTTTACTGTCGTACTATTACTACAGTACTGTCAATAATACCTGAAACACAGTACTTTTACTGTAGTACTATTACTACAGTACTGTCAATAATACCTGAAACACAGTACTTTTACTGTCGTACTATTACTACAGTACTGTCAATAATACCTGAAACACAGTACTTTTACTGTAGTACTATTACTACAGTACTGTCAATAATACCTGAAACACAGTACTTTTACTGTCTACTATATACTACAGTACTGTCAAATAATACTGAAACACAGTACTTTTACTGTCGTACTATAATACCTGAAACACAGTACTTGTACTATTACTCAGTATAATACCTGAAACACAGTACTTTTACTGTCGTACTATTACTACAGTACTGTCAATAATACCTGAAACACAGTACTTTTACTGTCGTACTATTACTACAGTACTGTCAATAATACCTGAAACACAGTACTTTTACTGTCGTACTATTACTACAGTACTGTCAATAATACCTGAAACACAGTACTTTTACTGTCGTACTATTACTACAGTACTGTCAATAATACCTGAAACACAGTACTTTTACTGTCGTACTATTACTACAGTACTGTCAATAATACCTGAAACACAGTACTTTTACTGTCGTACTATTACTACAGTACTGTCAATAATACCTGAAAACACAGTACTTTTTACTGTAGTACTATTACTACAGTACTGTCAATAATACCTGAAACACAGTACTTTTACTGTCGTACTATTACTACAGTACTGTCAATAATACCTGAAACACAGTACTTTTACTGTCGTACTATTACTACAGTACTGTCAATAATACCTGAGGACACAGAGTACAGAGTAGTACTACAGTACACACACACACACACACACACACACACACACACACACACACACACACACAGCTCCTCTTGTTTTTAAAGAAACTAATTGAAAATAAATAAGGTCAAAATAAATAAACCAGGACCAGGACCAGGTCTGGATCAGGTCTCAGGTTTAGACCCAGGTCCAGACCAGTTCTAGTCCTGGTTTAGTCCTGGTATGGTCCTGGTTTGGTCCTGGTTTAGTCCTGGTTTAGTCCTGGTTTGGTCCTGTTTTGGTCCTGGTTCGGTCCTGGTTTAGTCCTGGTTTGGTCCTGTTTTGGTCCTGGTTTGGTCCTGGTTTAGTCCTGGTTCGGTCCTGGTTCGGTCCTGGTTTAGTCCTGGTCCGGTCCTGGTTCGGTCCTGGTTCTGGTCCTGGTTTAGTCCTGGTTCGGTCCTGGTTTGGTCCGTACCTTTGACCAGTGTGTGTTTGTCTGTGGGCGACGATCGAGCCAGAACCCGGAGTTTGGGCCAAACTTTGTCCAGACGCTCCTGCTCCACCTGAACCACAGACAGGGTCAAAGGTCAGAGGTCACACAGGAGACAGGCTCAGAGGTCAGAGGTCACACAGGAGACAGGGTCAGAGGTCAGAGGTCACACAGGAGACAGGGTCAGAGGTCAGAGGTCACACAGGAGACAGGGTCAGAGGGTCAATAGTCATGTGTAGTTGTCGGTGTGTGTAGCTGGCACTGACCTCGCCCTTGTCGTT